ATTGAGATTGAAGTCAAACATGGTTAGTACGGTACGACCAACGTACCTACCAATATGCTTGGTAGAAGCATCTTCTGAGTAATCTGCATTGTAAAATAACAGCAGTTTCTCTCGAGGATAGATGGGTGATGGGAGTGATTGGACAATGCCGAATTGTCGGGAAACAAGATTTGGTTGGTAGGAAATCAAACTTAATTGATTCTTTGAGCTCTTGAATCTAAGTGGCATGATTCTGGGTCTAAGAAACGACTCCCATATGCCCACATATTCGTCCTCCAAGTGCTCCTCATCAGCCGAAGGAAATGGTCTAGTAAACCATTCTGGGCCGACTTTTCGACTGGCAAAAGGAGCCATGGTCGAAACAAAATGTTTGCGTTCTGCAAACTTCATCACAAAGCTTGTGAAATCCTTTTGAAATTGTTGACCCTTGTTAGTCGGAGTCAGCAAAGCAAGTCTAGTACCTTCGACCCTCCTGTTTAGAATTTCCGGGGCCGCTTCATTGATCTTGTTCTTCTGGGGAAGAAAAGATTCAAAGGTGGCGTTGAGCCAAAGTTGAAGAAGCCAGAAAGGGCCAGAAATAAGCAAGCTTTCCCTATCTCCTATGACCTTGAGTTGAGTCACACCATTGTTGATGGACTCATAGATTGGCCAAAATCAATTCGGCCAGACAGAGGGGGTAGCCGTGATGAAGTTGCGTCGCGAGCGTGAACATCTTCTTAGTCACTTGAAGCGACTTGGTGTAGAAGACGAAACGAGATAACCACATAGCTAGAAAAGTTATATGTTCCACCTCTGACACAATGCTGGAGGATTTTTCATGGAAGTGGTTGATGAAGGTGGTGTATATGGGTTTGGTAGCTGAAAACCCAATGACATTTTCAGATAGATCCTCTGGGTCGAAATAATCGCCAGTCGGCCGAAGACCGTTGATCGCTGCTATGTCGAAGAGGGTTGGGGTTACCATTCCACAGGGAAGATGAAATGTGAAGTGGGCACTATCCCAAAAGTATAGCGAAGATACCAGCATAAGAGGATAATAAGACAATCTTGTCTTCGACAGCATCACCAAATCCGAAATCCTCATTTCCTTCCAGATGGAGGTTTGTGCCTTCTCCATCTTATCTAACCAGTCTGAATACTCTGAAGAGAGATTAGGGCATGGTCGAAAGATCCTGTTCCCTTTGATCATGATATTTAAGGTTGATGTCCTCCTTGGTCTAAGCGTGTTGCTGGTTAGCTGGAGTCGCATCCTCAGGACCGTCCCTGGGCTTTTTCGCACAGCCTATAGGTCTGAGTCTTGGGTGAGTGGGGAAGAAAGCACGATTCTTTATAGGATTCTCGACACATGTGGATAGAGGACCAGACATAGTGTATATGTATTCAGAGTACCTGATAGGAATGAGAAGTTGGGAATCATATACCTCTCATCTTTCGCTAGTTGTGGGTTCAGAAATGAACCGTGGCCCGTCAGTCGAAGCAAGAGAATGGTTGGTAGGAAAGATTTCTGGTTGGTGTTCTATATCAGCAGCATTCTTACTTTTGGGGTTGTTGGGTGGGTTTGATAGGAAAGCCATTGTTGCAAGGTTGGTAAGGAGCGAAAATGACAATATAAGGTGTTTTATGCAGAAGAGTTGAAAATACTTAGTGTCGTGAAAGTTCCAAGTGAAGAGGCCCAAGACTATTTATAGTATCCAAAGGGAAATGTGTCTCGTCAAAGCCATTTAATGTTGTGAACATGGTGGGGCACGTGGCATTCTTCACATATCTGCTTAGTTCCTTCACATACGGTAACCCAAGCACCATTTTCTTCTGATTGAGCATACATAAACTTTTGAAGTTTAGATGTCCATACTTGTGATGCCATAGTCAGTTCTTGTCTTCTTCTACATTTGAAGCAAGACATTTTTCATCTGATGTGTTGAGTTCGACTTTGAAGGTTTTGTTCTCCGCTAATGGTGCTTTCATGATTAGCCCCCCATCAGCCCTATATACCTTCATCTGATTATTCTCCAACTTCATATTGAAGCCTTTTGCAAGTAATTGACCTACACTTATCAAGTTACTTGTCATCGATGGTACATACAAAACTTCAGTGATATGAGCCTTTCGATCATCCTTCCTGATAATCAAAATGTCTCCTCTACCACCTGATTTGATATGCCTGCCATCTGCAAACTTTATCACCTTTTCGACTGACTCATCTAACTTGGTGAAACAATTTTTATTGCCAGTCATGTGGTTGCTACATCCTGAATCCAGATACCACATGTTGTTTTTCTCAGTGTTCGATTGAGTGTTCACCAACAACAACACATCATCAGAATCACTACTTCCAGCTCTTACATATTGAGCTTCATCACTATCTTTCGATCTTACAACTTTCTTGCTTCGATAATCTCTAGCATAGTGGCCAAAACCTTGACAATTGTAACACTGCACCCCTTTCATGTCAACTTTCTTCCCAGAATACTTGTTGCACACTCCTTTCGAATCAGTATTCTTACATGACTTCTCATCACCAGCAAGATTCTTACGCTATTTCGATTTCTCTTTTCTAGCTTTCTTGCTGAATCTTGATTGTAATGCTTGTTCAGCTGTCTTCTCCCTTTCTGAGTTTCATTGATGCAGCCTCATTTCATGAGCCTCCAAAGAAGCTTGAAGTTCTTCCAACTTCATCTCAGGTAGATTCTTGGCCTCTTCGATTGTTACAACAAAGTAATCAAAATCTGCAATTAGAGATCTTAATACCTTTTCTATCTTCTGCAGATCCGTTAATGCTTCACCACACGCCTTCATCTGGTTTGTTAGCATCACCACTCTTGAGAAATATGCTGAAATAGTTTCATCCTCTTTCATCTGCAGCATCTCATACTACTTTCTCAGAGTCTGCAACTTTACTTTCTTCAGTTTCTCATCTCCAGCATACAAAGACTTCAGCTTTTCTCAAGCTCCTTTTGTTGTTTCTTCTTCGATTATCTTCTCAAACACATCACAATCCACACACTGGTGAATCAAGAACAACGTCTTTCCATCTTTCTTCCTCTGATCTTTATGCGCAGCTTTCTGGGCTTCCGTAGCATCTTCCTCCAGTTGTGATATTTCATCATTCACGATTTCTACAACATTTTGAAATCTGAAAATAACCTTCATTTGTTCCACCCATCTTTGATAGTTTTCACCTTTGAAAACCGGAATATTTGCTGGAAATTGTGTTGAGGTTGTTGATCCGTTTGCCATTAGATTCTCTCTGAATTGCAAACAAGCTCTTGATACCAATTTGTTGGAACAAAGGATTCAAGAAAGATGAATGTAGTGAAAAACAAGAATAATAAGAAGAAGAAGAGAGATTGTTGAGTTAGTTAGTGTAACTAACTCTTTAAAACTAAATTTGTTATTTGTTATTGCAGTATATGTGGATTACAAGTGATAACTCTTTATATAGGCAACAAGTTGTTGGCTTCTGAATTCGACACCTACTATATATTGGTCTTTTAGACCAAAAATAGAACAAATAAAACCAAGCTGGAGAATGTTTCGATGGGTGAAATAACTTAGAGGAAATATCTAAGTTGCATATTGGTCTTCGACCAGGAATCACTATCAAGATTTCGACTGAGAAGGTCTGATGACCTTCGACTAGGAGAACATATCTTCGTGTCGACACCAAAAGCGAGGGACATTTAAATTTGAATTGTTGGAGGGAAAGACGGTTTCACCAGCAATAAAAGGAAAGCAACATGGATGGAAGCTAGAGGTCGAGGGACATGCAGAGGACACTTGTCTTCATCTTAGAGCAAAGCTACCCCTCGACGGTTACATAGTTTTAGTATAAAATAGGAAGTCTGTGTAGTTTTTTTGGGGTGTTCAACCTATTGTGCTAGTTACTCAAATATTGTCCAAGTACCCACTGTGTGTGAAAGGATAAACTGAGAAATGTACGTTGGAAACACCACTTTTCATTAATAAAGTCTTTTTACACAACTTTAATCTTATTTTGCAAAGTTACTTTTCCTACACTTTTACCTTTTTACTTGCATCTCTATTAACTTTCTTGCTCTCTAAAATCACAAGCATCTTATCTTTTGGTCGAACGTGCGTTCTTCCTAGACATCTATTTTTCACATCAAACCAACATAAAAATTAGCATATGTTTTGGGATCAATCTGATCGATCCCGCGAGTAACCAAAAGGACTTTCCTTTTTGGAGGATCAACGGTTGTTTACCAAAAACCACGATAAACACAAGTCCAAGCCCAAATATAAACTAAAATTCAAATAGCAATTAACAAGAATTAACTAACTAACAGAAACAACCCGACCCACAACTTAATATTTCATTCGGTTCATTCGAGTATGCTTGGTTGGTTTTATTTTATTCACCCTTAATTGTAATCTTCTCCAACTCTAACTTAAGAAATTACTCCCTTCATCCTATAACGAACGACTTAATTGATCGTTTCACATATATTAAAAAAAATAGAAAAATAAAAATGAAAGAAGGATATATGTTTTTACCAAAGTATCCATAATTAGAAATGATGAAGACATAAATAATTAAAGGGTACAATTGAAGAAAAAAAGAAATAAATTTACATTATAAATTAAAATTGATCACTCATTTTATGATACATTTTTATTCTAAATAGTACTCTCATATGACTGAGAAAATAATAAATTTTATGACACTTTTTATTTTAAATAGGTCACTCTCAAAGAGGGAGTAGTAAATATAATTGTCCATAGAGAATACCCTCCTTATAACAAACAAAGAAAATCATGTGATGCCATAAGGTGTCTTGACTTCGAGGTTATCTATTTTACAATCAATCAAGCGACACATTACAACAAGGGACCAAACCTCTTAATACGTGCGGATCCACTCAAGAACTATTCTGCATCTCACCATATTCATCAATGTCATATGAATATTAATGAGAACAAAACACACATTTATTCACACATCCTTAGCATTGCAATAAAGTAGCAACTACTAGCTAGTACTACATGAATTGCAATAGTCCAACTCGAATGGTTCTAACTAGCTCCTGCACACTTAGCCTGAATTCATCATCCATCTGCATTTTCACCACAAAATAAACCAACTAAGTAAAATAGTAAATGCATCAAACAAAATCAACTCTGCCACATAATGTCTCTATTTTTTGTATGTTGAAATAACACACAAGAACATTAAAAATATTTTACCTCAGCTATGATGGTTATGTCAAGTTTCGTGGCTCCAAAAAGTAAGGTACTATTACTAATGACAGAAAGATGAAGATTCTCTATCACTTGTATTATCTTCATCAACATACCCTTTTCTTTCTCACAGTGAATTCTTATCAGCACGTTTTTCTCAGACACTCTTGCCTCAACCTCTGGCAGTGACTGATTCGGGTGACAAAAATTACCACCATTTCCAGAATCTGATGAAGTGTCTGAAACTGAAACATCTTCATCTGAAGAACATGACTTTGTCTTCTCAACATAAACAACAGATTCTATGTTCTTCCTTTGATTCTTCTGTTCCAATATCTTCACTTGTTCTTGTAGCTGTTTCAAATACTTTATTGCATCTCCTAACACAGAAGCCTTATCCATCTATACACACCCAAACGATTGATTGATTAATTAGTAACTAACCCTTATGAATCCACTTAGCAAATCAACAATAAAATCAATTTGGGTATCATTATTAAGAATAAAAATTGAACCTTTTTTAAATCTGGAATCAGTGCTGAAAGAGCTATGAACTGTTGACTAAGTTTTTCTCTTCTCTTTCTCTCAGCAATTATGTGATCTTGAGCATGTTTTGCAGCGGAATCAGTCTTTTTGCTCTCTAGAATACTTCTTTTAGGTTCCTTTTTTGAGGTTAAACACTTCCCATGATTCAAAATCTTACCTTTTTGTTGTTGGAGTTCTGGTTCTGGATTCACATTGTTGAAACAAATAGTGTAGGAAAGAGAAGAATCATTGTTTTGTAAACAAGGGTACCCTATATTTGAAGGGCTACTAGTCTTGAGTGTCTTTGTAGGTCTCTCAAAGCTGTTAACAACATCTCCTGAGGAATTACTCATAGTGCTTGAGGTTGTGTGAGAACAATGGCTACCACTGGACAAAGATTGTTGCAAGATGTTATGATCTTGTGACAAAGGTACTATGTTAATGTCATTGATGATTTTGTAATCTTCTGGATCCTAAACATATAGAAAAGACACAAGTGTTTATGTAAGATAAACAAAAACATTCAAGAGTGTAAACAAAAAAACATAATTGTATTTACCAAATCACGCAACCAACTTGTCCATGACTCATCATTTGGTGCCATTATGCTAGCTTCAACTTCCATTATGAGTCAAATGCAAGATCCTGAAAGTAAGAAGAAGAAAAAAAGTAAGACCTGAAATTTAGAAGAAAGCTTGCAATGAACACATAATGCAACTCAATCATAATATGATGAAGTGGAAATGAGACCATACCTTTCTGTGTGAATAGTGTGAGAGAAGTTGCTTTGTTTATCCTTTATATAAAAGAGTATCAAGGATAAAATTGTAGTAGTACTTACTACAAAACAAAAATCTCACTTATTTCTATTTTATATATTTTATTTTTTTTCTTTATTTTTTTTTTTGTTTTGGAATTTTTTGGATTTTGTTAAGTTATGTGAATGTGGTCTTTTCTATTTTCATTGCAGTAGATTGTTTATCACTTTGAAACAAAAAAAAATGAAAGAGGGACCACATGATATAACTAGACAAAATATATGTCATTTTAAAATAAAGTAAAGAGGAATTAAATTTAAATCTAAAATAAAAGATAAGAGGCTAAAAGTGTAATTTAGTATATTAAAGTGAAATCTGATCTCAAATTTTCCAACTACTAGCATAGAAGGTTAATATTTTACTTGGACTATGGTATATTCCTAGTACATTAACTTTAGTATTTAAATTGAACTGTACTGTCATTTGTCTAGTCTATAATTAGGTACTCCAATTGAAATGTTAAACTAGATTAATGATTAATCTATTTTGAACTAACTCTCATGCTAGATTTTTTTAATTATATATATATATATATATATATATATATATATATATATATATATATATATATATATATATATATATATATATATATATATATATATATATATATATATATATATATATATATATATATATATATATATAGAGAGAGAGAGAGAGAGAGTTCAAATGAGGGGAGGGTCGGAGGAGAGAGAATGAGAGAGATTTTGATTAAAAATATATTTGGTTCACGAAGGGAAATGAGAGATTTTATTAATAAATTACATTTTTTTTCTTTATGATTTTATATAAATGATATGATATTCAAAGGTGAAAAATTCACAAATATTTTTTTGAAAATAATATTTATAATATTGAGTGATTAAAAAGTCATAACTTGTCACGTTAAAAAAATTGAATACACTTGATTCGTATTATAACTCTCGACACAAAATATATTATATGTTGATAACAACTTTTGAATACATAAAATAATTTATTATTAAATTTTATATATATATATATATATATATATATATATATATATATATATATATATATATATATATATATATATATATATATATATATATATATATATATATATATATATATATATATAATGAATCAAGTTAAAAAAATGAATGGTTTAAAATTTTATATAAAAAATAAATATAATAAAATACAGAACAAAGTTTAAAAAAATTAACATAAAAATAAAAATTATAATAAAAAAAAAATTGTTGTGGTTATAATTTTTATTTAATAAAAAATAAAAAAATAAAAATTTGAAGGTGAAGAGTAATTATAATAAGTTGATGGAAGTAATAGAGAGAAAAAAAACAAGAACGTGGAAGAAAATGATAATTTTGAAATAATAAACTAAAACTGAGGATATTTTAGTAAATGTTAGAAGTAATTCATGTTTAGAAGATCTTAGTTCAGAAGGTGTTCTGACTCAGAAGCAGAAGCTTATGAAGTTGCATAGTTATTCCAAAAGTTATATCTAAGCTTTTGGGTTTAGTAGTTGTGTGTCCACGTGGCAGTTAGCGTTAGCTTAGCTTTTGGCTTGTGACTACGTGGCAAGTTTATTTTGTGTATTTAAGCAACTTTGTAACTAGTTTTCAATGCAGTACTCAATTTACATGAGTATTTCATATTAGAGTTTCTCTTTCTAAAAGTTTGTCATAACTGTTTTTCTCTTTTTCTCTATTTTCTTTCATCTTCAACTTTGTGCTCCAACAATTGGTACCAGAGCTTGGTTCGATTTATAGGGAAACACAAGTGTACGCGAGGCATGTGTAATTGATTTCATTTTTTTCTTAAATTCGCATTGAATTCGTGATCGGAATCATAATAGAATTGCATTTCTTGATTTTATAGGATCAGGAAACACGAGTGTTTGGTGAGATCTGAGATTTGTTTGAGTTTTTAGTGCATAAGAACGAAGATAAACGGCGGAAATAGTTTGAATACAAAGCTTCTGGTGTTTGATAGAAATAATTGGAATCGGTGGATGACTCAAATGCATGTGTTGTTCGGTGTTCAAGATGTTCTTGATCTCGTCACCGAAGGTTACGTTCCAATTGAAGTGGATGCAACAGAGAAACAGAGAAACACACAAAAAGATACGAGAAAGAGATTTCAGAAGCGTTGTTCTACATCCATCAGTGTGTGGATGTGAATGCGTTTGACAAGACCGTTGATTTGGCGACAGCGTAGGCTGCGTGGGATATTACTAACAAGGTGCTACGGCGGTGATGCGTCAGTGAAGAAGGTAAAGCTTCAGTCTATATATTAGCGGTATGAGAATCTCAACATGAAGAATAATGATAAGGTACCTGATTACTCTCTAGAGTTATTTTGATTTCAAATGAGATGAAATCTTAGGGAGAAACTTTGTCTGAACAAGTAATCATTGAGAAGGTATTGAGATCTCTTACTCCTCAATTTGATTACATTTTTGTAGAAATTGAACATCCTACAGATCTGAATACCATGATAATTGAAGAGCAGCAAAAGAGTCTAGAGGCACAAGATTTGCGTCTAACTGAGAGAACCTCTGAGAGAGAGGTAGAGCAGGCTATGAAGATGTCTTCTGATAAAAAGTATCAAAAGCAATCTTGGCCAGAGGCCAAGAAGAGTCATGGTGGTTCTCAGAAGTCACAAGCCTCAAATTGCAATGAGAAGAAACATCATAGGGGAAAGGAGAAGTTTGACAAGAAGAAGGTTCAATGCTACTGTTGTAAGTCGTCTGGACATTTTGGTAAGGAATGTTGGTCAAACAAGGAAAGGAAATTAGAAGAAGCAAACATAGGAGACTATGGTGATGAACATGTGCTATTGGTGGTTTTTGAGTCTAATAATAGGTATTTTGGTAGATTGGTGGTATATAGACATTGGCTACTCAAATCACTTAACTAGAAACAAACAATGACTGGTTGATTTTGACTCCAAAAAGAGGACAAAGATCCTATGTGATGATGATAAGTATCTTAATACATAAGGTATAGGAAATGTCAAAGTTAGAGTGAAGAATGGAAGAATTGTTCTGATAAAAAATGTTTGGTATGTTTATGGGATAAAAAGAAATCAGATGAGTGTAGGCCAGCTCATTGAGAAAGGTTTCTCAATTATCATGAAGAACACTCTCTTGAAGTTGTATGGCTTTAATCAGAAGTTGATTGTGCAATCTGAGCAGGGAAGTAATAGGATATTCAAGGTGAATATGGATATAGATGAAACTAAATGTCTTAGTGTAGAAGACACTAAAGGTAATAGTGAGTTGTGGCATAAGAGATTAGGGAATTTGAACTTCAGAAGCTTATATCATCTAAGTTCTAAGAAGCTAGTACATGGAATTTCGAAGATTGTGAAGCCTGAGAAGTTAATTGAGATATGCATGAAAGGAAAACAACCCAGATTGTCATTTGCGTCAGAAGTAGCCCCAAGAGCAAAGCATTATTTGGTAGTAGTGCATTCTAATGTATGTCGACCATTTACAGTACCTTCACTTGGAGAAAACAAGTATTTTGTGTCGTTTGAGAATGTGTTCACAAGAATGACATGGGTAGCACTCATCAAGTTTAAGCATGAGGTGTTTACTGAGTTCCAGAAGTTCAAGGTGAAGGCTGAGAAACATAGTGGTCAGAAATTGAAAGTTCTCATAACTAATGGTGTAGGTGAGTACAACTCTACAGAGTTCCATAAGTTTTATGATTAGAATGGAATTGAGCATGCAGTTACTGCTCCATACACTCCTCATCACAATTGTTTTGTTGAAAGAAGAATTTGAACTTTACTTGATGTGACATGGAGTATGCTGAAAGAGAAGAAGTTGCCTCACACCTTGTGGGGATAAGCTGTTTCCACTTCAATGTATGTGCCTAATAGGTGTCTAAGGAAGAAGCTGAAGGAAACTATTCCTTTAGAGAAGTGGGTTGGAGATGAGAAAAGTGTGATTCATTTCAAATTATTTGGTTCAGTTTGTTACAAACATGTTCTAGATGCTACGAGAAAGAAGTTGGATGATAGAAGCAAAGTAATATTGTTAATTGGGTATAATAGTACAGGTGCGTACAAGCTTTATTGTCCAATCACTAATAAGGTTAAAGTCATCAGAGACATCATTGTGAAGGACTCAGGAGCATGGGATTGGAGAAACTCTTAATCCAACTCTGGTGTAGTGTCAACACCTTAGATAACTTAAGATAGTTCGAAATCTGAAGATTCTAAAGATGAGTCGGAGTCAGAAGGAGACTCTGAAGACAAGTCAAAGTCAGAAGATGATTCTGATTCAAAAGGTGAATCTGATTCTGATCCAAATTTTGATGATGATCCAGAATCTGGAGGTCAAGACTCTGGTGGTGATGCTTCTGATGAAAGTCCATAAGGTGATATGGTTCCAAAATCATAAGGAGATTCTGAACAAGTCCACAGGCCACAAAGAATTAGACAACTACCAAGGAGAGTCACAAAGTTTGACATGTTACATGATACTGAAGTAGACTCTGATGGAGAAGTCGTTCAATGTGCCATGTTAGTAAATTCTGAACCAGTTAGTGTTGAAGAAGCTCTCAAGAAGAAAGTGTGGTTGAAGGCCATGAAAGAAGAAATTGAGGCTATAAAAATAAAAAAGACTTGGTATTTCACTAAGCATCCATAGAAGAAGAAAGCCATCAATGTCAGATGAGTTTTCAAGATAAAGGTGAAGTCAGATTGATCAATTGGTAAACATAAAGCAAGGTTAGTAGCTATAGGATTTTTACAGAAATTTGGACTAGATTACTTTGAGGTGTTTATG